CGGGGTGGCGGGTTCTTTCCTGCGCGGGGGTGCCCAAATAATCAGAAATAGCCCGCTTAGGATGTGGGGAACAACAACCCCACTTAGCACGTGGGGGAAACACGAAATTGGATCTCCCAAGAGCTCGCCGACGTGGTAGTTGCGGGGTTGGCAGCGCCCGGGGAGGGGAGGTCTAGCTTGGATTCTGTGTAGAACTCTGCTCCACTAGACCTCCCAGGAGCTCACAAAAGCGGCGAGCGTTGCGCAATTAGATGTCTAAATTGGATCCGCGTAAGACCCGCTGGACCCCCCCAGAAACCGCCAAAGCGGCAACCAGTTCGCACTGGAATGGCAGCAACCAAAGGAGGGGAAATTTCGTTTGAATCCGCGTAAGGATCCGCTATACCTCTAAGGAGCACGCGAACGTGGCGACAAATGCGCAGCTGGAAACGAGCCGCGGGGGAGGTCTAGAGCGGATCCTTGTCATATGCCGCTCCGCTGACCTATCAAGAACTCGCAAAAGTGGCGACGGCTGCGCTGATACATCAGCCCAGAGAGCAGAGGGGAAATCTAGCTTGAACCCGCGTAAGGAGCCACTCCGCTGGACCATTCAGGAGTTCGCGAAAGTACCGACAATTGTGCAGCTGGCAGCGCCCTGGGGGGGCAGGTTTAGCTCGGATCCGCGTAAGACGCCGTCCTGCTGGATCTCCCAGCCAAATCGGAGACCGTTGCGAAGGTCGCATCAGCCCAGGTGGGGGAGGCCTAATATGGATCAGCGTAGGACGGCTGAACATCCCAAGAGTTGATGAAAAATGTGAAAACTGCGCCTTTGGCAGAAGTCCGAGACCAAAAAGTCCAGCTTGGATCCGCGTAAGACGCAACACCGCTCCCAAAGAGTTTGTCATAGTTCGCACAAGTGGCGACAGTTGCGCAATCAGAACCGCCCAATCAAGGGAGGTCTATAATGGATCCGCGAAAGACGCCACTTCGCCGGACCTCCCAGGAGCTCGTCAAAATGGCGACCGCTGCGCAGTTGACAACAACTCAGGATGGCAACGTCTAGTGTGGATCCTGGCAGGACGTCACTGCGCTGGACCTCCCGGGAGCTCACGAAAATGGCGACAACTGCGCAGTTGGCACCGCCCAGGGAAAGGAAGTTTAGGGTGGATCCGCGTAAGACGCCACTCCGCTGGACCTCTGAAGAGATCACAGAAGTGACGACCGCTGCGCAGGTGGCAGCGCAGGGGGGGGGAGATCTAGGTTGGATCCGCGTGAGAGGTCACTCCGCTAGACATCCCAGTAGCTCGCCCAAATGGCCATCGCTGCGCGGCTGGCAGCAGCCCAAGACAGGGAGGTCGATGTTGAATCTTCGTAAAACGCCACCCCGTCAGACTTCTCAGGGGCTCACGAAATTGGCGACGGCTGCGCAATTGGCAGCGCCCAGGGAGGGGAGGTCCAGATTGGATCTGCTTAAAACTCCACTCCGCTGTATCTCCCAGCCGCTCGCCAAAGTGGTGACCGTTGCAGAATGTGCAGCAGCCCAAGACGGGGATATTTATGTCTGTTTTTTTCCTCACGAGCGAGCTGTTCTGCCATCCGGGGAGGCACGACTCCCCTATGGGCGAGGGACAGACAGACGTGCTCAGGTACGTGAGCCCCGCAACTTCCAGCTTCGGGGCAGCATGTCAGGCAAAGCGAGCTCTTTTTTGGACGCCCGAAATCGGTACGGAAAGAATGGGTACAGTGCCCAACAACAAATGTTGTCCCAAACCAACAGCGGCCGCTGTTGGACAGGCGGCCTCCTGTCTCGAACGGACACAGGCCGCGGCGGCGCGGACAGCGAGTCCTGTGCAAAACGAACAGGAACTGCTGTTGGGCATCGCACCCATTCTTTTCGTACCCATTTCGTAGGGCGACGGGATCTGTACGCATCCCCTGCCCAGGCCTGGCCCATCCTGGGCCGAGGAGCGATGTATACGCCGTCCTCGCTTGGCCAGGGATGCATGTACACCCTGCGAAATGCTTAAGAAATCATGGGTTAAGAAATTCATAGTCTCAGAACTTGAATAAAAACCCAGAACTTCTATCAAAATCTTAGGATTTACATGGAAACGTTAAGAATAATCGAGACTCTGGCCGAAAACTTGGGTTTTCTTAAGCATCGCCTAAGGTGTACACCGCTCCTGGGCCCAGCATGGGCCAGGCCTCGGGCAGCGGATATGTATAGGCTTCGTTCCCCTATTTTGAAGGGAAGCTGGGACACACAAATAAATACACACAAATAAAAAGATTCCCCATATTTTCCTATATTTTCGGGGTTTTAGTCTTCCCCCCCACTTCCCATATTTCCCCATATTTTCCTGGAAATCGACGATTAATTGTGTCTGTGTGTTTTTTTCCCTCCTGAATGTATAGGTTTCGTTCCCCTATTTCGGGAGTCCAAACCTTTCGGGCCCCCGGCCCGTGAGGCCTCCGCGGCCGGGGCCCCTCGGACGGCCGCCCCCGCTCGCCCCGTTGGGCCCCACGGGCGCGCGCGAGCACGCAGCACGCTGGGGCCTTGAGGAGATAAAATCAGGAGGAGGAGGAGGAGGAGGAGGAGGAGGAGGAGGAGGAGGAGCCGGAGGAGGAGGAGGAGGAGGAGGAGGAGGAGGAGGAGGAGGAGGAGGGGGAGGAGATTGTCCCGGCAAAGCAACCTGACAGCGATGAGTATGAGCATATCTGGAAGCCTTCCCCTTGAGATTCAGGTGAGAATCAAGGAGGAGAAAAAATCAGGAGTGCGCGCATGCCTTGTCTGGGAATGGTGTTCTGGGAATGGATTCCTAAGGATTCCTAGGAATTCCCAAGGATTCCTAAGGATTCCTGGGGCTGCCGGATCTATGCGGATCTGTCCGGATCCCGCCCGGACCCCCCTGGGGCGTCAAGATGCTCTCTTTTGATCCCACTAGAAACCTATCAGCAAAAGCTGTTAAGTAAAAATCAAGAGTGCGCGCATGCCTTGCCTGGTGGGCGGTGCAGCTGAGCGGGCTCGCAACGGTGGCGCCTGGGAGAAGCGAGGCCGGGGATGTCTGCGTTTGCACTCGCGCAAAACGCCGCCTCGCTGGACCCCCCTTGAATTCAGTCAAGTGTGACAGTTGTGCGCCGCTGGACCTCCCAGGGGCTAACGAAAGCGGCGACGGCTGCGCAGTTGGAAGAGCCCAAGGAGCGACGTGTAGATTTAGGACGCCGCCCCGCTGGACACCACGAGAGCCGACGGAGGGATGGCAGCTGCGCCTCGGGAAACAGTCCAAGGAAGGGAGGTCCATTTTGGATCCACGAGATGGCCCTACCCCGCTGGATCCCCCTGAAGACCAGAACAGTGGCGACATTGTGACGCTTGCGCAGATGGGGGGATCCGCGTAAGACGCAAATCAGCCACCCCGCTGGATCTCCCGGCAGCTCACGGAAGTGGCGACAGCTGCGCGCAGCTGGCAGGGCTCCCGAGGAGAGGCTTGGATCGGATTCTGGCAGGACGTCGCTGCGGTGAACCTCCGAGGATCTCGCCAAATGATCGACAGTTCACAGTTCGCAGCGCGCCAGGGTGAAGATGTACGGTGTACATTTCGGGGCCCACACATATACACCACCACCGCCTCCCTCACACCCTCCCTCTCCCAGGAAGAGGGAAGAGGGATCGACGTGGTGGTAGAGGAGAAGAGGGTAGAAGGTAGAGGGTAGAGGAGGGAAGAGGGTAGAGGGTAGAGGAGGGAGGAGGAAGAAGAGGGTAGAGGAGGGAAGAGGGTAGAGGAGGGAAGAGGGTAGAGGAGGGAAGAGGGTAGAGGAAGAAGAGGGTAGAGGAGGGAAGAGGAATCGACGTGGTGGTAGTGTATACTCTCGGGGCCCGCATACATTGGACCCGCGTAGGGCGTCACCCCGCTAGGCCTCCCAAGAGCTCGCCAGAGTTGCGACCGTGGCGCAGTTGGCAACAGTTGAATGGCACTGTCCAGATCGGGTCCGCGTAAGACGCCTCAATGCTGGACCTCCCAGGATCCATGCTGGGCCTCTCTGGAGTTTGCGACAGTGGCGGGGGCTGCGAAGTCAGCGCCCAAAGAGGAGGTCTGGTTTGGATCCGCGTAGGACGTCACTCCGCTGGACCTCCCAAGTTTACGCCAACATGGCGACCGTTGCGCAAACTGTAGACGTCCACGGGGAAGAGTTACAATGGACCCGCGCGAAACGCCATTCCGCGAGACCTCACAGGAGCACACGCAAGTGGCGACGGTTGCGCAACTTGCAACGCTCAGGGAGGGGATGCCTACATTGGCTCCGCGCAAGGCTTGACCCCACTGGGCTTACCACGAGCCCGCAACAGTGGCGAAGGTTGCGCATCTGGCAGCACCTCAAGAAAGGGAGGTCCAGCCTGGAGCCGCGTAGGACGCAACCCCGCCGGACATCCCAGAACCTCCTGAACATGGCCACGGTTGCGCACATGGCAAAGCCCAGAGGAAGGATATCCGTGTTGGATCTGTGAGAGACCGCCACTTCGCTGGACATCCCAGGAACCCGCGATCGTGACGACGGTTGCGCAGGTGAAGGGCGCGTCTCGATTCAGGTTGGATCCGCGTAAGGCGTCACTCCGCTGTACCTCCCAGGGCGCAGCAACATGGCGACATGTGTGCCCCCCATGGTGGGGGAGCGCGATGAGGAAGGGGCGAGGCGAGAGAAGGAGAAAGAGAAGGCGATGAGCAGCCGTGCTCGATTCAAAAGAAGAGTCCGTCACAGGATTCTCAGGAAAGTACAGCAAGGGGTCTTTGCCCTGCCAGTGCAAGGAACGAAAACTGAACATATCATAATCGTTGTATGCGCCCCCGCACACACGCGCATCTGGCTAACCCCGTACCCATCCCGAGGCGACTGGGCCTGCATAGCGCTTTTCACGCTGAGAGAGTTGCACGCTGAGAGAAGAGGAGGAGGAGGAGGAGGAGGAGGAGGAGGAGGAGGAGGAGGAGGAGGAGGAGGAGGAGGAGGAGTGTAAGGATGAGGGCGAGGACGAGGAGGGGGGGAGGATGATGTCCGGAGGGAGGCCAAGGAGGAATGAGGGAGGCACGCCTCGCTTCATCCAGGCCGTCGTACTGCTTTCTACCATGGCGTAGCAACATCTGGGGCCAAGCAATGCATCTGCGATTTGATGCGCAAACATGCCTGGCACGCCGGCTCCCGAGCAAAGGGTCGGACCGACAACGTGACCACAGCCTCGGGCCAAACAGCGTGTCCACGCTCGTGGAATAGTTTAAGTGGCGCCCGTGCAAGAGACGGAACCAACACGTGTACTGTTCAACCCGCCGCCATGCCTGTAGCACCGAACAGACCGCTTTCAGGTCCCAAAGAGTCCTGGGTGTTGAATATCGGGAGGCACGACGACGCACACGGCGCCGACGACGACGACGCCGCCGTCGACGACGACGACGAACATCGGCATCACTCTGGGTGGGCCCCGATACCCCAACACCCCAACCCATGGGATTCTGAGGCGTCCGTGGGCACTTCCAGGAGCAACTGAGGCTCGATGCATGACTTCACCAGGGACCTCGGGAGCGCGATTGGGGATCTAGACTTCGACTGTATTAGGGCTCTCTTGGGGGCCCATTGGGCCGTCTTTGACACCACATGAAAACGACCAAATAAATCAATAACGCGACTAAGCAATGTTAATCAGCGTGGGCTCCAAACCGTGTCTCTAACAATATACTATGTACACTCAATGAGACCGATCAACGTAGCACAGCCGATGTGGTGCAATTGAATTTGACAAACGACTTGACACGTTCCATGTGTTCGCAAACATCCCACCTCCCACCCGCAACTTGGTTTGCAAAACCCATGCGGTGGCGATTGCGATGCATGCTTGGCGTTGGCGGGTGCATCTCTGCGGCCGCGCCAGCCCAAGTACGCGCGCGCAGCGGCCAGCTAGTTAGGCGCGACCGACGCGGCCGCGATGGCACTGCCCACTGGGCACACCCAAACGGGCACTACAGTCACTACAGTTCGAGTCGGCGACTTGGGCGGGCGCGGTATCATGGCAACGTCGACAGCGGCAGACACGATGATGATAGTAGCAATGCTGGTGACGATGCTTACGACGACGACGGCACGGCCAGTGCGGGCGCCGATGCTGATCACGCCGACGGCGATGACGGCGTCCTCGCGTCGGTTATGAAGGTTTTGGAAAACGGCATGCGCGCGCGGCCGGCGCGCGAGAGTTGCCCGCATGTTACTGCAGACGCGGATCGTGCCCCCCCCCCCCCCCAGTACGCGCGCAAGGGCGTGCGAATGCTGTCAGATTGCGGCGCCAAAGGCCCGTTTGGCAGAATGTAATGAAAATGTTGGGAAACCGATGGTTTTCTTGAGAATTAACAAGGGCGCGAGCGCACGCTTTTTGAAAACCGATGTTGCGAAATCGCGTGACTTTATATAGTTGTTTCGACTCTCGGTTTTACAATCGCTACGGAACCGAAGGTTCTCGACGGATTTCGGAATGCGCGCGCGACGACGCGCGCGCGCGCACTTCGTCACATTTGTTGCAAAATATTCTCGCGACGGCACGCGCACAAGGGCGTTCGAACGATTTCGACATGCGCGCGCGAAGCCCTTTTGGTCGCATCTTCCGAACATGTTGAGAAACCTATTGTTCCCAACCGTCCTGTGGTGTTGGGTCTTCGTTTTGAAGTAACAGCGCCCCGCGTTTCCTTCCTCCTCCCGCTGCCCCCCCCCTCTCTCACACGCTTCGTGGCCCCATAAGGGGGCTCCACCGAAGGCCCCGTGGCTGCGCTCGCGTTTTGGCCGCATGCGGTTCCACCGTCCATTTCGGCACATCCAATGGCATTTTCACCCACCCATGGCCGCACGCGGTTCCACACGCCATCTCTGCACATCCAATTTGGCATTTTGACCCACCCCGTACAGCGCTTCGTGGCCCCACAGGGAGCCCACCGAAGGGCCCAGAGGCCGCGTCCGCGTTTTGGCCGCACGCGGTTCCGCCCCTCAGCTCGGCATGTCCAATTTGGCATTTTCCTCCTTCTCCTCCTCCCCGTCTTTCCTCCTCACATCATCATCGCCTTTCCGGGTTCCGTTTTCCGTTTTCCGTTTTCCGGTCCCGGTGCTCTCCCGTCACCCCCCGCGTCTTTCTTCTCCGTTTTCCGTTGTCCCTTTTCCGTTTTCCGATTATTGTCCTCTGCCGTCGGCCTCCGCTTCCTTCTTCGCTGTTTTCCGTTTTCCGGTTTCCGTCTTCCGGTTTCCGGTTTCCGGTTCCGGTTTCCGCTCCCCCTCCGGCCCAGCGGAACCATCTCCGGTGATGACCTCACTTCGGCGCACCCCTCGCACGCTTCGTGGCCCCATATGGGGGGCCCACCGAGGGCCCAAAGTGGCGGAGTTCGCGTTGCGGCAGGCTCCGCCCCCCATGTCGGCACGCCCCTCGCACGCTTCGTGGCCCCCGCGGGGAACTCCACCGGAGGCCCCAGTGGCCGTGTCCGCGTTTTGGCAGCACGCGGTTCCCCCCTGCGTGTCGGCACGCCATTTATACACGCCTTTCATTTCTGATCGTGCTCACTTCTAATTTTGCTCGTTTCTGCAGGTTCCTGGCCCCCATAGTGGCCAAGAAGACGCCCAGGGCAGAACACATAGAGATGAAAAAGATCTTGGCCCCCCAAAAAACCAAAAAACTCTCGAAACATTAAAGATGAACAGCGTGTACGCCTCGTGGCCCCATAGGGAGCTCAACCGCAGGCGCCAGCGGTAGGGTTCGCATGGCGACCTCGGGCAATTTCGGCACACCCGTCGCAAGGATCGTGGCCCCATAGGGAGCTCCACCGAGGGCGCCAAAACAGGGTTGGCCCCATGGGGGCTCCACCGAAGGCGCCAGTAGCAGGGTTCGCACGGCGGCCTCGGGCCATTTCGGAACACCCCCGGCGAGGATCGCGGCCCCTTATGGAGCTCCACCGATGGCCCCAGCGGCAGTGTTCGCATGGCGGCCTCGTGCAATTTCGGCACGCCTCCCACGAGGATCGTGGCCCCGTGGAAGCTCCGCCGAAGGCGCCGGTAGCAGGGTTCGCATGGCGGCCTCGGGCCATTTCGTGACGCCCCCTACGAGGATCGTGGCCCCATGGGGAGCTCCACCGAAGGCGCCAGCGGCAGGGTTCGCATGGAAGCCTCGGGCCCTGTCGGCACACCCCTCACGAGGATCGTGGCCCCATAGGGAATTCGACCGAATGCCCCAGTGGGAGGGTTCGCGCGGCGGTCCCGCGCCATTTCGGCACACCCCCCACGAGGATCGTGGCCCCATAAGAGCTCCACCGAGGACCCTGGTGGCAGCCCCCGTCGTGGCTCTCGGAGCCCTCTCCTGCATTTGCTCCCAAATCAGAAGGGCGCCGTCTTCGTCGTCGTCGGCGCCCGCGAAGGCGGCCGCGACCGCGCCCCTTGAGCCTGAAGCAAGCCCAGGGGGGGGGGGGGGCGCGGAAAACACGCAAGTCGAAAGGCACTTGCACGCTAGTATTCGCTTGAAGAGGGGCGAGGGGGGGGGGGGGGGGGGGCGAACGCCATGCAAGTAAACTTGCCTGAATCAAGAAAAAAACAAACGAGCTCTTGGGGGCGCGGGCGAATGCGATATTCACAACTGCGGCATAGGAGCTCCGCCGAAGGCGCCAGTAGCAGGGTTCGCACTGCGGCCGCGGGCCATTTCGGCACGCCCCTCCTCGCGAGGTTCGCGGCCCCATCGGGAGCTCCACCGATGGCGCCAGTGGCAGGGTTCGCGCGGCGGCCTCGCGCCATTTCGGAACACCCCTCACAAGGATCGTGGCCGAATAGGGAGCTCCACCCAAGGCCCCAGTGGCAGGGTTCGCACGGCGGCCTCGGGCCATTTCGGCCTACCCGCCCCGACGATCGAGGCTCCATGGGCGCTCCACCGAAGGCGCCACTAGCAAGGTTCGCACGGCGGCCTCGGACCATTTCGGCACGCCTCTCTCGAGGATCGTGGTCCCATAGGAGCTCCACCGAATGCCCCAGTGGCAGGGTTCGCGCGGCGGCCTCGGGCCCTGTCGGCACACCCCTCACGAAGATCGTGGCCCCATAGGGAATTCGACCGCATGCCCCAGTGGGAGGGTTCGCATGGCGGCCTCGGGCCATTTCGGCACACCCCCCGCGAGGATCGCGGCCCCGTAGGAGCTCCACCGAAGGCGCCGATAGCAAGGTTCGCACGGCGGCCCCGGGCCATTCCGGCACACCCCTCACGAGGATCGTGGCCCCGTAGGAGCTCCACCGAAGGCCCCAGTGGCAGCCCCCCTCACGGCTCTCTCTCATGCATCTGCTCTTCCGTCAGAGGGGCGCCGCCCTCGTCGTCGTCGGCGCCGGCGAAGACGGGCACGACCGCGCCCCTGAGCACGTGGGGCCCCGGCGGGAAGCCGCGGCCAAATAGGGGGCGCGGGCGAAGATGATATTCGCAAGTGCGGCATGCACAACTGCATGGGGTTGGGTCCTTCGCCGGGCTCATTTTTCCCCCGGCCATCCTGTGCGCGGTATTCGCTCCTCGTTTTGAAAAGACGGCACCCCGCGTTCTCCTGCCCCCCTCCCCCCCCACCCCCCTGCTCCCTCCCCCCGTCGCCCCCCTCGCTCTGGCACGCCCCATCGTGCGCTTCGTGGCCCCATGGGGAGCTCCGCCGAAGGCCTCGTCGGGGTGCCCGCGCGCGGCCCCCCCGCCCAGCGCGTCGTTCCGCGACCCCATAGGGGGCTCCACCGAGAGCGCAGGGGGGGGCGCCCGCAGGCGGCCCCGCCACCCAGTGCAGCGTTTCGTGGCACCGTAAGGAGCTCCACCGAAAGCCCTAGCAGGGGTGCCCGCATGCCCCCCCCCCCACACCCACCCAGTGCAAAGCTTCGTGGCCCCATAAGTGGCCCAACCGAGGGCCCTAGTGGGGATGCCCGCGCGGGGCCCCCCACCCACTGCAGCGCTTCGCGGCCCCATAGGGTGCTCCGCCGAAGGCCCCCGTGGGGGCGCCCGCGCGCGCCATCCCATCCAGCGCAGCGCTTCGTGGCCCCGTGAGGGGCTCCACCGAAGGCTCTAGGGGGGGGGGGGCGCACGCGCCCCCCCTGCCCAGCGCAGGGCTTCGTGGCCCCAGAAGGAGCTCAACCGAAGGCCCCAGTGGCAGGGTCCACGCGCGGTCCCCCGCTCATGTCGGCACACCCCTCGCACGTTTCGTGGCCACGTAGGAGCTCCGCAGAAGACCCTGCTAGCAGGGTCTGCATGCGGTCCCCGTCCATTTCGATGCACCCCTCGCTCACACGC